TTTTTACTTACTTTTCACTTACTTTTTCACCTTTCTAAAAGCTAAAGCTCTATTTTCCCTTCAATAAAAATTTAAACTCATCACTCATAACAGTTCTCCAAAAGTTAAAGTTCCCACCAGCCACACCAAACAGGCTCTTATTCTTCTTCTTTTTCTACACAGAGATTTAACTTTTTTGGGCTGGGTGAGTGGTTTTAGAGCCCAGAACTATGGACCTATTACACAGTCCAAACTACAGGAGACCAACTTAAATGGGCCCAAATTGCAGTCTAAGGTGAAAAGAGCACTAAGCCCCTGGTTTGAATGTAAATGACCAAGTTAAGGAGCACCTGGTATACATTACTTGTTTTTTGGTATTGTTTAGCATGCACAAGTTGATCCAACATATCACTCAATAATAATAATAATAATAATAATAATGTCTTTTATGTTAGGCTGCATAATAATAAACAACCTTATTTCATTCCTTTATCCACTCCTTGTAGGCTGGTGGTTTGCAAATCGAATCTTGTATACTTGGTGCCCTCTAAGTCTACATGATGCCCTTGTAGACTAGTACCATACGAACTACATAAGACTTCTTAGTCTTTGGTCAACAACTCGGTTATGTTATGGGTAAGGAGAACTACTTACTGTTGTTAAGTTGTGATAAGTTAACTTGTTCCCCCAACATTACCCATGTTAAAAAAAGAAAAAAAAAACCCCTCTCATGCTTGCTTAGTTCCTTCTAGAAATAAAGGGGTACCTTTGTCCGACCCAGAGCATTGCAAAAGAACACCAAATTTTGATTTAATTTTGTCATGCTAACAAATGCTATAATCATCATAAGAAGATTCAATATGATAATACACACAGGATCAGTCATATCAAAGACTTCTAAAATGGCCTAATAAATCCAAAGCCAAAGCACAGTCCAAGCACAATAAATATAATAAAAAGTGTTATGTAATTTAAAGCTTAAATTGTAACAGACTATATAATTTAAATTATTAAAAACGGACTAACCCTTGAATTAATATTGGTGATTGTAGTCTATCCAATAGTTTTGTTTAAGAGGACCTCATTAATGTATCTCCAACAGCTTTTTTTTTTTTCAACCGTGTATCTCTAGATAGAAAATTCAAAAACTGGGAAGGCCAGGCCCCTAAAGGTTTCTACTTTCTGCTTCAATATTCCTTTGCTTTTGAACACCACTACTTTTTGGCGATTTAAAATAAGGACTTCTTCTTGGAATTCAAGATGTTTTCTTAAGTATCCAAATTCCAAAGGAAAATGGGAATATCTTGCAAGTTGCAACACTGAGTGACACAAGGCAGAGTTTGGAGGAAAAATGGGAGGTACATCTAATCATGTCTTTAATTAATTTTAAAATTTAGGGCCACATCGATTTCATCATTAAATTAACGTTGTCTTCCTCATGTTTGAATTTGATGATGGGGTGGTCCAAATCTAAGCCTGATGAAAGGGACATACTACCAAGTTTTGCACTGAGATTTTTTAGATTTGAACTTACCTTAAGTAACTTAGTGATCCATTACCCAAGTCTTAGAGTTTGTAAATGAAACTTTATATCTACTTATAATTCGAACTATTATCCCTTTTTTCTTTATAATTACCCATGTTATATATATATATACACACACACACAAACATTTTTGTGCTGGATAGTGGCTTTAGCCTCTAGAGCCCCAGAACTAGGGATAAATTGCATAGTCCACACTGTAATGACTAACTTAAATGGGCCCAAATTACAGTCTAAGGCTCTAAGGCCCTGTTTGCCTGATGAATTGAAGTGTCAAGGGTTTGTCTAGTGAAGCAAATGAAGATATTCAATGAAGGCATTGGTTTGAAATGTAAATGACTAAATGGTGTTTGCCATATATTCTTTATCAAGACCTGCTTTTAGGATTTAATGATTTAATCACAGGAAGCTAATTGCTAACATATTATATATCTATATTGAGATTCATTGTTGATGGTATGTTTTTGATTGAGCAGAAGTAATAATTTAAATTGGTATTACATAAGTTATTATTATTATTATTATTTTGTATTGTTAAAAATGCACAGGCTGATCCAATAGAGCACTCAATCTAAGAAAGAAAAATTATATTCTTTATGTAATATTCAAACTACATAAAAAAGAAACATTATATTCTTTATGTTAGGCTAAATAATAAGAGAAAACTTTATTTTATTTCCTTTACATATATCTTCTAGACTAGTGGTTCACAATTCACGTCTTATATACTTACCCTTGATTTTATGTTTTGCCCTTGTAGGCTAGTAATATACAAACTGCATAAGACTTCCTAGTCTTTGGTCAACAGCTCGGCTATGTTATGGGTAAGGAGAACTAGAACTACGTACTGCTATTGATTAGATGGCAAATTGTGGTCTTGCCGTTTCATCAGGTTTCACCCAGCATACCGATTGTCCTATACGTCTAAGGATCATTTTGGAGGATGATATTATGGGTGTTGAGTTTCCCAGGGGTTACATAATGTCAAGCTTATGTTCTTAGCTTGCTTACTACCAGAAAAAAAGAACTACATACTGCTACTAAGTTGTGGTCAGTGAAAACCTCCCTCCAATAATGCCCGTGTTTAAAAAAAAAACTCTCATTGTCTACATTTTATAGACTTATTAATTCCTTTTACAAATCAAAAATTTGTTTTGTAATTCAAATTATATAAAATTGTAAAACATAAACTTTTAAATTATAAACTTATTAATTCCTTTTACAAATCAAAAATTTATTTTGTAATTCAAATTATAAAAAATTGTAAAACATAAACTTTTAAATAAAGGATAAGTTTTTTGAAATACAATTTTTATTTTATTTAAAAAATTTTATTTTATCATTTAAAATAATAAAACAATAAATTCTTTGCAAATAAAATTTATTATTGTACTATCTTTTATACTCCCTATAATAAAATTTTTTATTCATCTAAAAAAGGTTATCATTGTCAACTCACAGCATTGGCAAGGAACACCAAATTTTGATTTATGTCATGCAAACAAATGCTATAATCATCATAAGAAGATTTGATATGATAACACGGCCTCAGTCCTATCAAAGATTTCGGAAATGGCCTGAGAAATCAAAGGCCCAAGCAGAGTCCTCCTAGCACAATTAATATATCTCTAGCAGCATTTTTTTCTGCTGTTCGACCGGATAGAAAATTCGCAAACTGGTCCACTTGCATTTGGGCATTGCAGTATCTGATTCATTGATATTTAGCCACTCAAGACCGTACAGTGGGAAGCCAACTTGGCTAAGTGCCTTGGTGGGCATTTTTTGTTTATTTTAGTCCCTTTTACCCTTTTTCCCTCTCAAACAGCTTTGTCTGTGTGAATGAAGACGGTGAAGGTCTTTTTCAGAATTGAGCTGCCTAATATCAGAAACGGGGAAAAGTCTCTCTGATGGAGATGCAAATTTCAAAGCTTCATCCACTTTGGGCATGTTCATACGTGAACCTCTCGCTTTTCAACTAAGAAAGTTGAATTCTTTCGATGTTAATCTCACGAGGTAATGAGATCATGATGACCCAATATCCCCAAATTGCATTATTGAAAGTCTAAAAGAGAACATTCCTCCTCCGCTCCTCCCTGCTGGGTGTTCATGGTGACTTGCAAAGGGGAAAAGTTCAAGACTTTGAGTTATGGGGGGTTTGATTATTTTCTTTCTTTTTTTGCTCTTAATTGCTTAGCTATTCTCCTGCAAATCTAATGAAAACAGCAAAAAATAAACTTGTTAACTTAGGGAGAAAAGGGTCTACTTTTGTTTATATATTTTTTTATTAGAACCACAGTTTTTATGACTTGAAAATCTGTATTTTTAGGGTTTTCAACCCAAAATTTCTTTAAGGAGACAAGGTAAAGCTGAAGTAAGGGATGCTTGACCAGTTGGTTTATTTTCTCATGCTGAATTAGGCAACAAGTGGTGGTCCTTTAAGCTAAATTTTGTCTTTTCTATTTTTCCCTATTTTGGATATACTTAAACTACACCTAACATCCACCACATCCCAAATAATCCAAAGCAAAGGAAACCACAAAGTTGAGTGACTGTAATCATCAGTCATGCCTTTAAATTGCTCAAGCCTGGCTACCAGAGTTCCACATATCTTGGAGCAGTGCAGAATTATCAATCCCCAGAATCTAACACAAACCCATGTAAGAAGTTGCTTCCTTTTCCTCCCCAGACACAGGGTAAGCCCCCGAAGCAATTCACTCCGCGTTGTTTCTCGATCAAAAGGAAGCTGCTCTTCTTCAACAATGGAAGACCAGAAAAGCCTAGACATTCCTTCTGAACCAGAGAAATATTCCAAAGAATTGAATATTGCTGTCAGGGCTGTGCAGATGGCTTGTTCTCTTTGTCAGGAAGTGCAAGATAGCTTGATTTCTAAGACCAATAACCAAATTCAGTCCAAGGATGATAATTCTCCAGTCACAGTTGCAGGTATTCCATTAGTTCTGTTGTTTTACTTCCTTTTTCTCAACTGGGTCTATTAGATAATGCCATTTTTTTGGATTTGTTGGTTGGCTTTGGCTTTGGTTTTGGATGTGGTGGTGGTTGAAGTTCTGTGCTGTTATTGTTCTTTCTTGTGAATTTGGCATGGTGGTTAGTGTTGTTTAATCAGAATTGGTAAAATATTCACTATATTAATCTTTTGGCACTTCAAATTTAAGAATTTCGATATGTATTTGATATTTTTAAGAATATTCTTTTTAGTTCTTAGCCCAGAAATTGAGTTGGGAGTAATGCAGCTTAAATAAAACAGTCCTTGTTTCCTTTATATTGAGGATAGCTTTAGCTGACTTGTTTGGGGTGCTGGCATGAAATATGGAAGAAAAGCTGGCCAAATGGGATACTCGAGAACCATAATCCATAGACAAAATTGATTAATACTTATTCATTCTAGAAATCAGCTAATACTGCTTGTTTATGTAACTTAATGCTGCAGTTCTATTGTTGTAGTAGTTTTATGGAACTATTACAAGGGAACTGAATTCATCAGGAATATTTTGAGCATGTAGATGGTATTTAAGAGTGATAGAAGATGGCAAGTAATTTGTTAGGGCCAAAGGGAACTATGCTACCACATATTTATTGTTAATAGAATATGATTTCTATCATTCATCTCTTTTGCTCTATGTTGTTAACGAGTCCCGGATGCTGTTAGGGATTTATAGAACTCTTTCCAAGTTTAAAAAGGTTTAGATAGTTCAAAGTGGAATTAAGACCTGATGGTTTAAGTCATTGGCATGATAAGTAAATAATAGAGTATGAAGATGTTATTTTGGGCTGGTTTAGCTCAGATATTTACTTGAAACTTCATCAGGTGCTCTGTAATTGTTTTTTATAAATTGGATAGAAGAACAGTTTGCTGACTCACTAATCATTCTTGGAGCAGTTTCATATTTGGTATAAGCAGTAGTTATCAGCTGATTTTCTTGGTCATGCCATGTAAACAGATTGGAGTGTCCAAGCAATAGTAAGCTGGGTACTATCTGAATCCTTTGGAAGTGAAAATGTGTCTATAGTTGCTGAAGAAGATGTCCAGAATCTCTCCAAGGCTGATTCAGCTGGCCTGTTAGAAACTGTGGTGAGAACAGTGAATGACTCTCTATCTGCGGCACCTTGCTTTGGCCTTGAAGGTCCACGCAACCCCCTGTCAAGTTCAGATGTTCTTGAAGCAATTAGTCGAGGCAACTCTACTGGAGGCGCTACTGGAAGATTTTGGACGCTTGATCCTGTTGATGGCACATTGGGGTTTGTACGTGGTGATCAATATGCTGTGGCTCTGGCACTGATAGAGGATGGAGAGGTTGTGCTCGGGGTTCTTGGGTGCCCAAATTATCCAATGAAGAAGGAATGGCTAAATTATCATCACCGCTACCATAGAATTATATCTAAACTGACCCCAACAACATCTGAATCTTGGGACAAAGGTTGTGTGCTTTATGCCAGAAAAGGCAGTGGTGAGACCTGGATGCAGCCTTTGCTCAAGAAAAACAATAAGCTAATATGGCCAAATTCTGCAATACAGGCTCAGGTATCCTCCATTGATAATCCTGCATTGGCTACATTTTGCGAACCAGTTGAGAAATCAAATTCAAGCCACTCCTTCACAGCAGGACTAGCACACAGCGTTGGCCTTAGGTGAGTATCCTTTTCTTCTTCTCCACAAGTTGCTTGAAAAATCAAAATACTTTGATTATTCCATGCTTATCACTGAACCAGGAAGAAGTAGGTTCTGCGGTAAAGCTTGATATAAGTTTTCATATATTATGCAGGAAACAACCATTACGGGTATACAGCATGGTTAAATATGCAGCCATAGCTCGAGGGGATGCTGAAATATTCATGAAATTTGCAAGGACTGGGTACAAAGAGAAGATATGGGATCATGCTGCTGGAGTTGTGATCATACAGGAGGCTGGTGGTGTGGTAACTGATGCAGGAGGCTGTCCTCTGGACTTTTCAAAAGGTATATACTTGGAAGGTCTTGATCGGGGTATAATTGCCTGTGCTGGTGCCAAACTACATGAAAAAATCTTGAGGGCTGTTGACGCTAGCTGGAATTCCTCCAGTCTATAGTAACTCTGCCTCGCAACATCAATAAGGCTGCTTTTATAGTCTCTTTTATGTTTAATCGTATTCTCTTGTCTATATATCGAGCTCAAATTATCATCCTGCATGACCATCAAACCCAGGCTACCATGGTTGGATATACTCTGTAAAGCTTGATTCAACATATATCTTAAGCTCCTATAGAAGTAGCCAGGAAAACATGTTTAAAACCGAAATATTAACCAGGAAAAAATAAGATAAACTTCTGCATTTCGAAGAAATTGCTATGAAAGACCAAGGAACTGACATGGGATTTTTGGTTTCAGCTTAGGGCCCTATATCATTGAACTTGGCGTCTTGAACACTGCAAATGAGTTAACGGGTTGGACTTTTTCAAGTATTTTAGTGGGTTTTGAGTTGGCTGGTCAATAATTTTTTTTTTTTTTTTTGATAATGGTGATGGTTAGAAAGTTAGTATGAATTAATTGTTAGCAACTGGGGATTCGATCTTCAGACCGGGTGAACATTTCACTTCCTGAAATGAGGCGCGCAGCTATCAGACCGCTTTTGGTGAAGTTCATGACGGTGGTAGAGTTCGAAACTCTGACCACCTCGGCTGAGCACTTAAGACTTGGAGTCGAAACCATTACACCTAAAGATCCGGTTCGACTGGCCAATAATTCGATCATATCTTTCTGGCTCCTGTGTCAGAGTCAGAGACACAGATGTTCCTCAAACTCCCTGCAAAAAAGAACAAGATTCCTATCTTCGTCTCGTAATCTTTCTGAAATATATCTCAACCTGATTTTCACCTTATATCAGGGAACCGGAAATTGTCAGTAGAGCATTCTTAAACCTATTAAACACAGCATATGGTTTGTTCATTAAGATTCAAAACAAATGTGTATAGGTTTTGCATGCATCGTCAAACCATATTGAATTGAGGAGTTCCAGACAATCATGTGATATAGATCTAGGCAGCTGATATTCGCCATTAAGATTGTGCTTGGTCCCATGGGAAAGAAGACAAGCTAAAATTAATAGAAAAGACACCATTGACATATGCCGAAAAAGACTACTGTTGCTGAGTCCTGGGGCGGTGGGACGCGTTTCACTTATTCGTACTGATGTTAACGATGATTAGGTGATGAAAATTAGTTGAGGAGGGGCTCCGGAGATGTTGAGGATTTTTAAGAGGCGTCTTTATGGCCTCGTAAATTTGTCAACTTGAAGCAAATGGGTCGGCCCACCCGCATTAAGTTCCCTCCGTACTAAAAGTTGCTAAACTTTACTAAAAAAAAAAGTTTTTTATAGTAAAAATAGTTAAAATGTATTGTATAAAAAATTAACAAATATCATATAAAAGTTAATAAATTTGGTTAAATTATTAATTTTTTTGTGTTTAATAAGAAATTAGTGTAGAAAAAGTGAATAGAAAAATTGTTAAGTAAATCTTATATAGGAAAAGTTGAAAGAAATTTTTTTTCTTTTAAAAAATGTGAAAAGAAATGTTTATGTGGAGGAAATTGTGAAAGAGAAAATAAAAGTTAAAAATTTTATTTTTATTTTTTATTATAATATTAATATATAAAAATATAAAAATAATTTTATAAGATAAATATTTAAAAGAATTTTTAAAAAAATGACTTGACAACCAAATACTACTTATGATTTGAATAATAAATAATTTGATCACATAAATATTAAGTTTTACTCGAAAATCCATTTTAATGTGTGTGTCTAGTGATATTATTATCTTAAAACTACTTAAGAAATGTTGATATTTATGAAAAAAAAATCATAAAAAAAATATTGATATCTATATGTGTTTTTAATTACAAATCTAAAATCTAATCTATTATTTTTAAGTACCAAAAAAAAAAAAAAAAAACATGTTGAGATAAATTGTATGGTGGTGCCCAGCAAGAAAGACTGTTCCATAAAGAGCAGGTAAACCGTATGTATAGAAATCACATCAACTTTTAATGAACGTAGCAGATTGGTAGTTTTGGAGCTTTTATGCCTCGTTATCGTGATAAAGAAATAAATTTGCTTATCATAACTAAGTTCTTTGAATGGTTAGTACTTGCAATTACTTTTCAATTTCTTCGTGCATTGAATGTGATATACGGTTACGGTTTCGTGTCATGTGATCCGATATAAAGATGCCTTTTAAAAAAAAAAAAAACAAAATGTTAAAGAGAGTGTTGTAGAATACACCAAGGGGCCTTCTAAACTCCATTTATCAGTGGACAACACCATAGCAGAGCTGGCTAGAAAAAGTTATGATAGAGGTGTGCCAGAAATTGCACCCAAACCTAATCTACACTCATGGAGGGTCCCCTCCTCAACTGTCCACTAAATTTCCACCGTCTATAAATGTATTATTTTCACCCCACTATGAATACCCACTCAAGCCTCTCTCTTCAGTCCTCTCCACAAAACATGAAATCAATATCAAGTTTCTTCCTTTTGGCTATTTTGCTTCTCCTTACATCTCCATTATGTCTTACGATTAGACCTGAATCATCCGGAGTCTTCTTCTCAGATGAGTTCAGGCAGAACAACAGAGGCAGCAAATATAGCAACCAAAATGACAAAGGTGGTGGGAATCCTGGTGAGTTTAACATCCCCGGATTTACTATCCCGGGGTGGGGGAATGAAGGCCAGGGTGGCGGGTATGGATATGGAGTCGGCGGTCCAAATGGAGGGCATGGATCAGGCGGTGTTATTCAACCTTCGGTGGTGTGTAAAGACAGTGGTCCCTGTCTCCATAAGAAGGTGACTTGCCCTGCCAAATGCTTCAGCTCTTACAACCGGGCAGGGAAGGGATGGGGCATGGGCGGAGGCGGCGGTGGCTGCACCGTTGATTGCAAGAAAAAGTGCAGAGCTTACTGCTAGAGGGTACTGATTTCTACTACTAATATATAGCTTATATATGGTTCCTATGATGGTATGTATGCTATTATGGTATGATAGTTCCTATGATGGAAACAATATTATAAATAAAATTGACGGGATGTGTTGTTGAGTTCTAAGCTTTCTTGGTGATAAACCGTGTGCAATAGATATATATAGTGTGTGCTTCAAAACCATCTAATGGTTTGTTTGGCAAAGTATAAACTTGGTTGATTTTGGTGTAAAAACTGGTGTAAATTACGTTACCGTAAGGTGATTTTTTGACGCGTTTTTATTTGCTGTATGCTTGTCCCTATGATGGGAATTTGTCCACACGTAAATGCATTGGCGATTGAGATTTCTACAATGGAACTTGTGTAACAAGTAGGTGTCAGTATTCAAGTATATGAGACAAACACTCTACATAGAGGGTATCAATTAAATCCACACGTGGAGAGTAGAGATATTATCCAAGTTGCGTCCTAAAGAAAGTATGCCACTCCAATTGACAAAATTTACAGAGAGTATCACCCAAACATAGAAGGCTAGGCACAGGAAATGGGTCCATCATATAGCAGCTCTCATGGCACCTCTTGCAGCTTCACGCTTCATTTCAGCAGCTTTACCACTTCCCCGGAAATACATGTATACTTGCTGCAAAACAAAAGGAGAAAGAAAAGAAATGGCGTTAGAAATCAAACCTAATAATTGAAGTGTGTGGTTTTCACGATTATAAGAACAAAATTTTGGTACTGAACAGACCTGCAAAACCCAGAGGCTTATCAATGATTCAACGCAGAATAGTCCGAAACCGATGAAGTAGAAGATCTATACGAGCAAAGGAAGTAAAATTAATATGGTAAAGCCTTCAACACTACAGAAACATTACTGAAATGCAGTGTTGCATATTATTTTTTAAGCCTAGGACTTTGACTGAAGCAAAGAAGCGTGCAACATACAATGGCCCAAAAAATGAGCAAGAAGCATGCAATAGTAAACCTTGAATTATTTTGAGGATAAGGATCCAATAAATGCCAAGACAATTTATACCAAGGTTCAAGCATCCTTACCCCAATTATAACATTATCACCAATAACATCTATCGCAGGCAAGATTCCCCTGCACCAGCAGCCAATGATAAAACCACTTCAGTAAATAAAAAGGAAGGGAAAAGGAAAATTTTAATTTCAACCAGTTTTAGACCCAGGTCCATCCAACACAAGTGAAACATATGCCTCTGCAGCAAACAACTATCCCCATTCCTAATGTTTGGAATGTTTTAATGAACATACGTGAGTGATTTCCCTTTGAAAACTATCGGAGGGGCAACTGAAGCAAAGATGCAGAAGCCAATGTGGAGCTGAAAGCACAATTAAAAGGTGTCAGTCATCTCCCAACTTTAAGAAAAATTATAACAGATCCATTTTAGAGGCAAGAGTTTCATTACCAAATAAAACAGGAAAAACCATCCAAACTTTATAGCACTTTCATTCCTGTGAGAACAGTTGCAAAGTGAAAATATGAGGAATTTAGATGTTAGTATGTAAATAATGTTTCAATTTGTTTTCCAAATAAAGAAAGTAGAAAAACAGGATACCTGAAAGCACGATACAGTGGACGATACCACAATACATACCCTCCTGGGACACCTGCTACAAAGTAGATAATGGCAAGGAACCAGATCTTTACACCTACAGAATAATAGGGGAAAAAATTAAGCATCAGTTTCAAATAGGATTGGCCAAAAAAAGAAAAAATCAGTTCCAAATAGAAAAGCACAAGATGGAAAGTAGAATCCTAAACAAACCTTCCCCTTTGATCCATGCTGCAGTAACAGATATAATATTCCAGAAGAGACACAGAACCAATCCTGCATGCAACGATCATTCATCACTTAAATATGGTCCATCCAATGGCTTAATAAAAATGTTCCTAAAAATAGAGCTAACATTAACATTGGCAAACCCATCCAAAAACTAGTTTGAATGATAAATTTTAAGTTTCTCCCAGGAAGGAAAAACACTTTGAATCAATAAGGCACAAAAATTCACTTATGTCAGGGAGCATGATACATGTAACAGAAAATGAGGTAGTAGGAAGCAAGGGAAAAGCTTACATACCTAAGAACGTCGCAAATGCAACATACTGCAATTTTTGTAGATGAATTGGTATTTCATTTCCAATATCATGATGAATAATTGGAAAAAAGGGTGGCCAATTTTTCTCTTCCAGAACAACTCCAGCTGCCAAGGAGAAGAAAGGAACAGGGTCAGGCCAAAATATTTTGCAAAAGAAAGGTAGGCTAGGAAGACGTTGCCAATTTAATCAATAATGAAAGGAAATCCATAACCAGAGTTGCATCCATGACTGATTTTACTAGAAAAGTCAACCAAAAACGAGGAATAGTTATAAACAGCAATGCAAGTCACCTCGTGCTGCAGCATCTTCTCTCCGCTTCACATCCTGCAAAGCCCAAGGAAACTGATAAGGGAAGATTGTACAGTTGATTATTCAGTTGCTGCATAAAGTCAGTAACAAAAACCAGAATTTGTACTTAGTAAAAAGAACAGAATGAGTTAACTATGCACTTCAAAACCCATCAGATAGCATAGAATGAATGATAAGTTGTGAAGAAATGAGGCATCTCCACAACAACCTCTTAATGATCTCATGAGCAGTAATATCAGGGGCATTGAAATGAGCATGGTTTTAACAATATTAAATTCTAAGTTTGTGAATAATCCTTCGATGACAGCGAATAAGATAAGCAAAATTCTACCAGAAAAGTATGAGATTCTATAGAATCTGTATGAATTCGAAGTTTGAACATTTCTGCCAAAACAAACCTGCTCCCGTCTTCTCAATTCAGCCTCTTTGGCCTGGAGTTCTTTCTCTTTCTTCTTCAAATCCTATATTTTAAGCAGTAAACCAGCAACTGAGATTCAGTGTTTTATGACATTAAAGAAAAGGTGTTCATAGGCTCAGGTCTTCTCGAACCTGATACTTTGATCCTCCTGAAGCTGCATCAAGAGGAATGTCAACTGTTGCATCTCGATCATAACCAAAACCAGCGGGTTCAGGAGGAAGTGGTGAAAGTCTCGAATTTGATGTGGGTGGAGTACTCTAGAAATTCAGAAGACAAACAGTTATAGCAAATATATCATAAACTTTGAAAACATGCAAACTAACTCCAAGATCCATCAGCAATAACGAGGCCTTTCAAACTAAAGCCTTAGGTTAACCACCATTGGTGGTTCCAACTGAATTGCTTGCATCTTAGCAATCAACATGATTGTATAGGTTAACCGAAAAGGGAAAAAAGGCGGCAGCTTAGCAGAGTATAGGCTAGGAGCCTATTGACAATGGTTTTATATTAATGAGAAAAGACACAAGGTCAATGCATAGATGGTGAATTAGACTTAAAGAGTCATTAGATATAAAAGTGTAGCCCATCTGCAAAAGATAACTCCTTACACATTTCTTGCTGAAGTTAAAATCTTTTTTTTTTTTCACATCAAAAGATCAATAAACACTAAAGAAGTGTTGGACTCACAAGAAGCAACACCATCAGACATCTAGGGGGCAGGAAACAACAAATATCAAAATAGTAAACCGGTTAAATTGTCAATAATATACAAAATTTCTTCATTTTAAAACAAATTTCCAAGACATTTGTAAACAGAAATTTAGCTTACTGTTGAAAATACACCTCCACCAAACTTTGACTGCCCAGATGCTTTGCCTCTCACTGCAGGATCCTGGTGGAAAGACACAAGAAGGATTTACATGTAAGTTTAGAATATCAAAGCTGCAAGTCTTCCTCGCTATCAAATCTTTCCTCCACTGAACTAAGATATTGGGGTTTAGTCTACACTGCTCTACGCATTCTCAACCACCACATTTCCACACCTTACAAAAACTACAGCTATGGTAATCAAATAAAGGAATTAAGGCTCATCACAGAAGAAATAAATCCTTTCTTTCCAAGTATCATAGCAATTTCATCACAAGGCAATGAGGCATCATAGTAAAAACAATTTCGTAATCAACAAAAGAACACCCTCCAAAACCTTAGATTACGGAATTGCTTGCCTAATTCAAGATCAAAATCAAAATTCACACCAAACACCAGAAGGATCGGAAAATTAACGAATTCAACCGATCAACAGTCATCAAGAACAAACATCCGCAAACATCAACTAACAGAACTTGAGATTTTCCAAATAACACAAGAACAACCAAAATCAGAGTCAACTTCAATTCCACAGGCATCAAAACACGGAAAAGTAGCAATTAGCAGAGGTTACAAGAGCGATGAAAACTTACAGAGAAAGGATTAACTTCTTCTTCTTCCTCATCGAAAGGATTCCTGTCGTAACGGCCAGCCATAGGTAGGGTTTATCCTCAGGAACTGCAACTTCAACACACAACAGGAACGGGAACAAGGAGAGGAACTGACTACCACTAAGATCTCAAATATGCATAAAAAAAAAGGGAAGAAGAAAGCTTATAGCTTGCAGACGAAGAAGTTTCAACCGCTCATATTAAGAATTCAAGCTTAAGAAATTTTCCTGTAGAGAGAGAAAATTGCTTTTGTAGAGAGAGAAAGTAGAGGTTGGACTTTGTTGTATTTCTATAAGCTTCTGTAAAAAAAAAAAAAAAAGTGAAATTGATAGTAAACAGCGGGAAAATTATTGCTCATATACTTTCTTTCTTTCTTTTTTTTTTGTCTTCTGGATAAATAATTATTTTTTTCAATTTTTTCTTTAAAATATATATATATATATATAACTGACCAATTGAAGAATTTCGTTTATACCTTTCTTCGTTTGGTGGGTGTAAATTTTCTCGAGAGATTTCACAGCATTAATTTTCATTTTTGGGTTATCTATATAATCAATGTTTTATACTAGTTAGTTAAACAGAACTATCTTTTTCAATTACACTTCACCATATATTAATTTAAAATTTAAAAATACAAAAAATATTTCTAATAAATTAAAAGCGCGTGAAGAGTCACCTGTAAAATTTTTGTCTTGTCTCATAAGAGATAATGTTTATAAGTGCAGTCTGAACCTTTTTTTATTTAAAATTAAATTTAAAAAATATTATATAATATTAATTATTAAATTAAAATTAAATCTTAATATTAAAAAAAATTTATTTTATAATTTAATATAATTTAAATCGTAAAACTACGTTCTATTAAATTAAGTACTAAATTTTTGAGAGTTCTGATATTTAAATCAAACGGGCCCACGTTCACTATTTTCTAGCATAACAAGCAGATGCAATTTACTTTTTCATTCTTGCGAATCAAAATTAAGGAGTTTGAATGGTTGACCTCAAGGAATCGTTGATTAGCTGTTATTCTAGATGATGGTTATTGGTCCCCTGTATGTATGTATCTGGCCTTAATATTTGACCAAAAAAAAAAAAAAACTGCAGACATCAAGAACATAGAAATCATCTCCTTCAATTTCAGTCACCCATTCAAGACACAGCTTCTGAAATTTCAAAGTTGGGTTAAAAACAGTAATATTTTCTTTTATATAATCCATGAGAAACAAAACATCTATGAAGGGAATTCATGCCTCACCATTCCCACTAAAACCGGCTTATTCAAGCACTCTTCTAATGAAATTCCAATGAACAATTTTGCACTTACATAAGGAACTACATGTCTACTAGCTTATCCAAGGATCAGCTCTATTCTTTTTTCTATGCTGCAAGGAGTAATTATACGAGCTAGATACGTACAGTGTATTGCTATCTTTGCTTGATTCTGATACCAGGTTATGACTTGAGCTTTGCTATATTCTTATAGCTGCTTCTCTCGTTCTCGTTGCATTGCGGTTCTCAGCAGCTTTTCCACTGCCACGGAAATACGTGTATACTTGCTGTGAAAAGAAGGGGATAATGATGTTAGAAAAACATAATTAAGAGAATGTTGCAAGAATTAAGGGCACGAGTTTAGGCAGTGATCAAACCTGCATAACAGAGAGACTTAATACTATTTCGAGACAGTACAATCCAAATCCAACAAGGTAGAATATCTATACAAGCGAAGGAAAAGTAGAATTAGTCCCATGCGTTTTAGCATCATGCTACATAAACATCGATGGAGCAAAAACAAGAGAGAATGCATTAACTCCGGTTTAAGAAAATGATTAAATCCTTACCCCAATTAAAAAAGTTTTCTTGTTCAGAAGATCTATTGCAGCCAGGATTCCTCTGAAATTTAAAGCAGTTGATGACAGAATATAATTAGCAAGATATAGAAGAGGGAACTGGGTAAAGATAAACACTTTGTACAAATTGTTAAAGGAACATACGTTAGTGATTTCCCTTTGATAATTATAGGAGGAGCAATTGCAGCAACGATGCAGAAGCCAATATGTACCTGCAAACAGAAAAATGGAATAAAAGAGTTAGGTATCTGCTAACGGGGAAAAGGAGGGGGAAAAGTTATGGTAACAAGAGATATTACCAAATAAAACAGGAAAAACCATCCATACTTGAAAGCACTTTCAGTCCTGCAAGACGATCATGAAGGGATTGAGTAAGAAAATGGATAACAGAATCCAAATCAAAACGTACAGTTGACATTAAACAGACATGAAACAGCCAAAGCAAGAAAAAAGAAGTGGTATTAAGTACCTAAAAGCACGATAAAGGGGGCGATACCATAAGAAATAGGCTCCTGGAACTCCTAATATGAAGTAGATTATGGAGAGGAAACAGATCCTTACATCTAGACAATAATGGCAAAGATTAGACAGAGTCCTCACTATCATTTCCATAATGGAAAACACAAGAAAGAAAACAGTTAGAATTCTAAACCAACCGTTCCTACTGATGGATGCTGCAGTTGCAGATACAACATTCCAGAAAAGGCACAGAACCAATCCTGTGTAAGGGAAAAATGACATTTACCATTCATAACATATAGCAATATATACACTGATAACCATAAGATCATGTATGTATGAAATTTTGAGTCAATACAATCTACCAAAGTGAAAGGCTAAAATAACAGTATTGAAAAGGTTTTTTTTTTTTTTTTTTTTTTTTAAGGAAAAGCTTTTGTACCTAATAAAGATGCAAAAGCCATATACATCAACTTTCGTAGGTAAATCGGTATATCATTTGCAATATCATTATGAATGATTGGGGCAAACGGAGGCCAGTTTCTCACTTCTAGATGAACACCAGCTGCACAACAAAAATAAAAAGTCAAGCTTATATTGTCATGGCATGGAATGAAGGTTAGCAGACCATCAAAGGAAATAGCTAGGAAACAGGCCGCTAAATGGATGTTGTGAGTAATCAACAAAATATAACATCAAATGTATGTTACCTCTTGCTAAAGCTTCTTCTTTCCGCTTCACTTGCTGTTGCATGCCCCAAAATAAAAAAATAAAAAACTGATGAGTAAAAATTGTAAAGTCAACATGTTTTACAAGTTCAATCTCCATGACTTACCTCCTCCCGCCGGTCAAGTTCAGCCTGTTTGGCCAGGAGCTCATTCTCTTTCTTCTTCAACCCCTTGATATATATTTTGAACAGAGTAACCATCAGTCCAAATTCATGTTTTATAATTTGGACTATATAATTTAATATTTAAATTTACTTACATATCTTAATAAAATAATATAAAAACTAATTTAATTAAAAATGTTTTAATATATTTACAAGTTAAACTACACTTCCATAAAACTATAAAACATTTTTTTTT